GTTTTATTTTTCCTGCATTGCAAACAGTGCATGAACAGAATCCTAGACCTGACCCTGTGTGCCCCATSCCTACACTGCCCACCCCCAGAGTGAACACTCATGAAGCCATGAGATCACTGTGGATGGATATGAGTTACATTAGTTCCTAAGGGAAGAAGGAAAACAGGAATGTAATGAGATGTTTAAGATCAATCTCCTCAACTGACAAAACACAGATCAACAGATACATAAAACACACACCCTGTGGGAGGCTTTGCTTAATGAAGTGAGATTGCTTAGTAAAGCCACAAATACCAATTAACCAGTGACAGCTCCTGTTAGAAAGTTTGCTCATGCAGGTTAATCTTGTCTTGGATAAATATACCTGACTGCACCCCTAAAATTGCAGTGACCACAGCTCTTTCTGAGCTAGAAGGTCAAAGCAATGCAATGTACCATGATCAAATGTCCTTTCCTTTGGATTCAGTATATTTGAGGCAGTCAGAYATTCTTCACACATTTACATTTAAACACAACACACACAGGCACACAGACAGGTAAGAAGGCAACAGCAGAAGTCCATGACWTCTTTCCTAACTRAAGGAAAAATGTYTTCTAAAATTCTGCAATGGCCTTGYTGTTCTCTGCCAGAAGAAAGCAGATATAAGTGTCTTGCTTCTCCACCCCAGGAAAATAAAAATACAAACTAAAAAAAGACAAGATGTGTCAGAGAGACAGAAAATAAACCTCAGAGATGCTAAGCAATACTCTATCCTACAAGCCAAAGTACCAGCAGGGTACCYGGGCAAATGGTAAATTCCTGCCCCCACTGAGTTCCTAAGCAGCATTAACTTTCTAGAGAAGATTTTTAGAATCAAAATTATCTAGTTTCCAAAACATAAAATCTAAGCCAAATTGCACTTCTATAAGCAACACGTATCAGTGTGTCCAGCATATATGGGCTCCTATTGATTATTTAAGCATTTGGTACGTAGTGCATGAATAATGACGTCAAAACTCAACCAATTAAATCACTCTACCATGACCTGAGGGATTCTAARACTGACAGACAAATTAAGTTTATTAAAGTTATTTCTGAGCATTATATTCCTAGGTTCTTCTCCTTTTTAGAACTGTTTAAGTAAATGACTTTGCGCTTCTCTGCTCCATGTGGGAAAAGCTCTCACAGACACAGGTACAAAGGAATTCATCACACAGGACACTGCTGCCCCTGGTTTCAGACAATCTGCTCTCTTTAAGGAAGAGCTTGCTGGTTGTGGAGACAGGCAGGCAATTATGAAGGAGAAAACCCAGGTATATCCCTCAAATAAAGAGTCAGAAGGCAGCCTAAGGGTTGCCACTGGACAAGAATCTGAGCCAGATCCCCCCGTGGCAAAAGGGTTTTCAACACCTAYCCCAGGCAGAGCTGTAATTCACTCATCAGTAATTACCAGTGTCCTGCCCTCAGATGGATGAATGAACAAATCCATGGTGATAGCAGACAGATCATTAGCAGCAGCCACGTGGAAGATTGATGGAGTCTGTGATTTCAATTTCTGCACAGGGTTTGAAGGGAYGGCTTATCCATCTGGCAGTGCAAAGCTGCTCTGATCAAAGGTGTCCCAGCCCCTCTGGTCACAGCATGGCCTTGTGCTGGCCAGAGCCCTCCCTCTGCCCCTGTTTCCCAGCACAATAAAGGATTTGCCTTTTCTTTTGGTTCAACTATACTCTCCTCCAATCCCCAAATGAATTGGCCCCTGTGACGATTCAATTTCTGTTAGTCAAAAAATGAATTGCATTTGCTGATAGAATAAAGAGAARAGCAGATTAAAAGAAAAAGTATCCATCAATTCTTATAGTCAGAGAAGAGATTTCACTACAGGAGACAAGCATTTAATTCTGTTTGCCCTACTATKGCATAGAAACCTATTTTTATCAGCACAAAGTGCTTGACTGTCTCTCCAAAAAGAATTTTAATGTGAAACTACAATTTAAATCACACCAATAAAGATTTTGTGGTAAGAGATGATCTCAATGTAAAAAATCCACCATATTTTTCTTTTTTCCAAGGTATTTTGGTGATGTCCTCAGCTCTAAAATACCAGGTAGCAGTCATGACCAATATCACTGACTACCCAACAGCAACTCTTCTCTTTTTAGCAACATCACATCATTCATTGCAGGGCATCTACCCCACTAATACTCCAGACAACCTAAAGGTCCTCCAGGAAAAAAAGCTTCTGTTGGGCTGTGGTTGAACACACAAACATAACTTCTGTTTGGGTCAAAGATACGACCTTTTCACTCTTAAACCTTATTTMTCCTAATACCTCCCCATAAAGAAATGTCACAAAGTTCCAGCCAAGGTATTGGGCTCACAGTAAACACCAAAGTCAAAGAATGAAAATATGTTTCCATACTAAACCAGCCTTTCCTAACCTGTATTCAAACATGCAAATATTTTATAATGCTGAGAAGCTGTGATGCTTAAAGCACAGACCAAATTTYCCAGTGAAGAAAACTCCACTGGATACTTCTTTGGACTTAATGTGAACATTTATTTTGAAATACCTGCTACAAAAMCAGGGGGGAGAGGGTAAATAAAAATTAATCTTACAAGGTCTTTTAYAAACTTGATATACGCTGGAACACCAAAATAGTTCCCTAACATTTTGCTGAAGTTTGGTACTGTGCATATAGAGAAATATTAGTCATCATTAGCCTTAGAAAAACAAGATTATTGCACCCACCTTGGTTTAGTTTTGACCAGAATTAAAGCTCCATATTTAATATTAATCCTTTCCTCTAACAAGTTTTAGGCCAATAAAGAAGCGTCTTGTTCTAAGGAAGATAATTACTAGGTATTTTCATTTAAGAGCTATCAATAACAAACAAAAAATATTTACCCAGMGGATAAAACAGTAAAATAACAGCTAATATGGCACTGAAATAYAGTGGTTTCATTTCAATAATCCTGCCTGAAAATGTTATCTTTGGGATGGAAAGGACTGGAAATGTTTTACCATGTATTCCATATGTCAGAGCTGCTGTTATACAGACAGTGGTTCAAAGTTGATGCTTTTCAGTCATCCATTTCTCTCTTTGCAAATGTAAAGTTATCCAACTCAGGACTTGGTAACTCATGACAAAAAAACTGAGCTTCTTCTGACAGTGCAAAGATTACAGGTCATGGTCCTACTGTTGGATGAGCATAAATGCTTTCTGATACGTTTTGTCTTTATATTTCAGAGAAAAAATGAAATGTGTCAGCCACCAATGGCAAAATGCTGGTCCCCACCAAACTTTCAGGCTGACACCCYAGCCCACAACTGTGCTCCTGTGCATGCAGAAGACTAAAATTCATGGTAGGTTTTTTTCACCATTGTACACAGAACAGTGTGACYCTGAATGCTGCTTGCCCTTGGGTTCCCACACTGCAGCTATAGTCACAAACACAGGACAACTGACAAGGAGGAACATGGAACTTTTCTGCCCATATATCAAACACTTGCTGCACAGCTGTTTCTACCCCACAGYTTGCATTTCACTCCTCCAAAATTAAAATAAAACCCAATACCTCCGATATGCACTGCATTGCCAGCTCTTTCTTTTGTCTGCCAAGCCTAAGGAACACCAGGACTCGATAGCAGGTCATTGCCTGCAGCTGATATGGGCAGAAAACGTGCACAGCAACAAGCACAGGAAAAGAGAGGGGACCTTGCTCCATGCCTGATCCAGACCTCACAGCACACAGGGACTGCATGATGGAGACTGGAAGAGAATCCCAGTGAAGATGCTCCCCCTCCATCCCCATGGGCAGAGTCACCWGAGATCAGTGCTAGGGGAAAGCTCTAAACAAGGCAAGAGCAAATTCACTGCCACAAGCAACAAAGCAGCAGKGCTACATTAAGTGTCCTAAATAAACACAGCTCCAGGTGGGAGCTAAAAAGGCTCAACATCCCACCTGAAACCTGCCCCAGGCCTGCCCTGGCAGGAATAGCTGAATAAACTTGGCCCAGGTTTCCAAGCTGCTGGGACCAGCTGCAGGCCAGCTGCAGCATTTTCCTGCAGTGTGAAAGCAGCGTGTGCTGCACAGAGCTCCTTSTCAATAATTAAATACTTGACTCTTCAACACAGAAAGAAAGAACCAAACAACGTGTAACACTAAACAGCACACAGTGTTCTTGCTAAAGCATGAATATCTATGCAATTTTCTAATTGGAGCTTATTTTTTGGAAGCAATTAAAGTCAATTTATATGTATATATGTATTATACAGTATATATAATATATATAATAAYAATATMTATMATTTATATTATATATATATMATTTTGGATCACCCTGTATATCAAGCAGTTAACACTCATCTTTATGACACTTTCACAAGTCACAAGCATCTACAAATCCATTCTATAATCTCCCAAATCCAATGTTTGGCTAAAAATTTTTGGCTTCTTATMAGATGCAATTTGTAATCACTCAGACCCAGAACATGAAAAAAAAAAAAAATCCAAAAAAATCCAAAATCCTCAGTTACATTTCATATAAGGTTAATCTTGAATATGGTAACTTTATCTRTGTTACTATTATTTCACCAGAGAAAAACCAGAAACTGCAGTTATGCAGCTGGCAAAAGTAATTTACTCCCTCAGGATGCAAGCCAGGTAAAATGCCAGGTGGATCAGGCACACTCACTGTTAACAGGAACTGTCCCTTAACCCTGGCACTTAGGCATACACTGGGAATATTTTGATCATAGTTAAAATTAATTTGTGCATACATAAACTCCACTCAAAGACAACACTTCAGCAACAGGTTGTTGAATAAGGACTTGACTATCAAGATAAATGTGTTTTTAAAATACACGTGTTGCAAATATTTGAGTTTACTGCACCATATTGCAGATTTTCACAGATTTCTGATTATCCAAAGAACTCAGTGGCCATGAGAGGAGTTTATAATGCTGGCACATGCATATCCTGTAGCAGCAGACAGAAATCTCCAAAAGTGAGCACTCACCAGCTCCAAGCACTGCCGGTGCCCGTAGGCAGCAGCGTAGTGCACAGTGTTGTAGCCCTCCTTGTCCTGGATGGATGGGTTGGCATCGTTCTGGAGRAGGAACTCCAGACACCTGTGGACAAATTCAACAAATGTGGGCTCACAAGATTGAACAGGCTCATCCCTTGCTGCAGCTGGAAGAGGCTGCCAGTGAATCCTGTGTYTTGAGCACTTCAAACCACTTTTCACCAATAGCTCCTCACATTCACTATCTTTTAAAACAGAAAATCCCCATTTATCTTTGAAGACCAACTTCATGAAAAAATCTTCAGCCTAACTCTTGTGGCTACTCTTGATTACAAAACTGAATTTCTATTACAAAGCTTGAGAGATAGTACAYATGACATAAACAGCCTAGAATTGCTACTCCTCACATAAAAACTCCTATCAAACCATTGGCCTCCAAACATGCACCAGGGCATGCTGAAGAACAAAGATTTAACTGAGTTGCATGCATATATTCTCTTCTTTGTTGGCTTTTACTCAATAATGATTTTTTTTCTCTTTCTAGCTCTTGCCACTTTTTCTTATACCATCAAGATACCATCATTTAGTTATTGGTACTCTCTTCCCTAGCCTGWAATCTGCAGTGAATGTAAGGCCATATAATAAAGGGGATTTAAAAATAAAAAAAAATCATTAAGCAGATAGATGAAAATGTCAATCCAAGTGAATACATTGAGAAAGCCATTGGCTACTTTGTTTTGCAAAAGACACTGCACGGTACATGAGAGTAAAGAGTTATAAAATTACTGAAGTTGTACATTTTCAGTTAAGCAACAGCAACAAGCACAGAAACAGCAATATTGGGGAATATGTGCACAGAGAAGAGCGTGGAGCCTTTTYCTTTAGGTTAGCCCTCAGTGAAGCCAAGCACTGTGTTTAGCAGAGCAAAGAACGAGCAAGAGCAGAGTGTGAGACTGCAAGCCAAAGCCACGGCATCCTCCAGAAATGAAGTTCCAACTGCTTTTGTGACACCAAACTTACAATGCAGCTTCTTTTTCCTTCATCTCAGTGGTTCTTTCAAGTTCTTCAGCATTTTCATGGGAGYTACCTAAAATATTCTTTCTTCTTAGCACAGAGGACAGAAAAACGCAACTTATTCTCAAAATATCACACTGGTGATTTTGATGCAGTCTGCCACCCATCCCCAATCTCCTCTTCAAGGAGCTGACTTCCTCCAGCCAACAATGAGAATTGTAAAAGTTAACTGAGTGTACTGCATGGATTTGCAGTTAGTAAGTTTTGAAAGCCATGAAGGCAACCAYAGAGTGATAATTTATTGTCCCAGAAATCAATGCCAGAAGAAGAAAAAAAAAAAAAAATCTGGTTTCTATCAATACAGTTTGACCACCACTTTCTAGAAATTTCCTGTTTGGCCCACAGCAAYGTTGTGCACTTGTTTCCTTTCCGGAGAGTAATTCAGGATTACCACACCTTGCTTCCTCCTGCAGTAAGCTGCCAGTTCTTCTCTAGTGTTTAGGATTTAGAGCAACTTTAATCACTGATACTAAATCAGTCTGTCTCAAGTCTGCATTAGCTGACTCTCCTCACTTTCTGTCAAATCTCTTGGCAACACTGGGTGATCTCACAGTCAGTWTCTTCTCCCACCTCTTTAACTACCCACATCCAGAGTTAATGATGAATATTCTTTGGAATGAGATTGTCTGACCTTGGAAGTTTTTTGACATTCATCATRGAAAAAAGATTTTTGCTGACCTATAAAATAATGGACTGCAAACAGCATTTCATCTATGTAATAAGGCTTCTTCCAGAACATCCCAAACTGGAAAAATTTAATGAGAAGACAGCATCACCACATCAGAATCAATTTAGGTTTGGACTGTGAGGACAAATAAAAGCCATGTAATTCTGCCAAAGTTCAGGATGTGACTAAAGTAAGCTTTCTTTTTTTTTTAAATGAGGGATAAAAGCAGATATATCCTGAAGTTAACCAAGAGCCTGTTTAAATGCAGGAACTTCAYCTACCAAAAACCAAAAGCTGAAAAACACACGCTGAATCATCAWTCTCAACCCTGCAAGCAACACCTCACCCTGGTAAGCCAGAATTAGAAACAGCCAGTGGTGAAAGCCTTCCTACAAGCCTACACTGATTTTCTTGCCAAGCACAGACCTCTGACAGCCTTGGCTCCTTCTGCCCAGCACTGTTCAGGTTTGAGGTGATGGGGAAGACTTTTTAGTATCAGTAGTATCAGAGCAAATGATGAAGAAGCTCTCAAGGCTCTGATGGAGCATTCAGAACTCTACCATAAAGCTAAACCAAACTCTCCCTGCTGTGGTTTTGAGGTGCTGTTCTGCTGGGAGTGTTGCAGGCTGCACTTYTGCCAGACCTCACTATATGAGAAACCAAAATCCAGTTCCTTAATGTCTAGAGASACTGTGAGATAGAGAAGCATAGGATGACTTAAGATAAATAAAAAACTGCTAAATAAAACTGCTAACAGTTTTAAGAGAGAGCTAACAGGATAACTGAGTGTGGTTTATACACTACGTTAGAAGGAAGAGATTGCCAGAGTGTTCAGCAATCTGGGAATTAAAACTGCAGTCAGTAACCACAGCAATTCTAAGTTTTGCAGCTGTTTTCCCYCTTTCTCACAAGAACAACACTGTGTTCTGCTAAAGGATATTYCTCAGAGCTCTCTCTAAAAAGGCAACCTGTTTGGACAGGTTTTTAATCTGCTCTGACAGTGGAGTGAGAYGGTTGGTTGGATCTATCCCACCTTTCCCACAAATCTGTCAAAATGGCCAAATGTCTGTCACTGCAGTCCACCTCAGAAAACCTCTTGTGCTGTCTCTTGCTCTGTCCTTTCTCATGAACTTGTAATGCAAATGTAGAAAATTCTCTGAGGAATTAAATCCCTTAATCTTGTGAGGAAACCACACAAGAGGGGAAAACAGAAGAAAATAGTGAAAATAGTTCTGTAGGATAAGGTGGCTGTGAAATTATGCGTTCCTTCAGAGGTAAACCGTGGAGCTGAAATGCCACATCATCTGGGGACCTGGCTTCTAGTCAGAGCAGCTCAGCGTGGAGCTATCACACATCTGAGAAAAATTCCTGTGCTAGTGGGATCATTTTCTTGGCTCAAACCCCAGAGCATCATGAAAGGACTGAAGTGACAGTGATTTAGCAAACCACTCGAAGCAGGAATCCCCCAAGAGGCTCTCTTACTTTCGGTCCATGTCAGAGGCAGCAGCATAGTGCAAAGGGGCCCGTCCCCAGTCATCTGTTTCATTGATATTGGCTCCTGTTGTCACCAGTGTCTCGATACAGTGGAAATGACAATTTGCAGCTGCATAGTGCAAAGGTGTCCTGGAACATAAGTGGCAATTTGTTATCTCATGTTCCAACATGCACCGCAGAGGATAAAGATAAATCTTAATAGCTGCATTCCTAGAGATTTCCAGCAGGCAATATCAGCACCTTAATTTCATAGAACTTATGATTTCCAGTCTGAAGTGGCCTTTCTTCCTTGCCTGATAGATGCTTTCTATTTTAAAAGAGCTTCATAATTTACCTACCTTCCACATTTGTCCTTCTTATTAAAGTCTGCTCCACTGCTTTGCAAGAGTTTTATACATTCTACATTACTGGAAAGAGAAGTAAAGAAAACAAAATATGAATAAAACATAAGCTTATATCTGCATTGCCCCCTCTCTCCCAAAAGGAAAAAGTTATTATTTTTGTATTATTTCCTGTGCAAAAACAGGATACAGCCAACTGTAACATGAAATTAAATCAAACAGAAACTGAAACTTAAAAAAAAACACTATTTTCTTTTTTTTTTTTTCTCTAAAAAACCTCAAACTTCTGCAGAAAAAATATTAATTTTCCAAAGAGAGCACAGTAAATGTGATCAGCATGTTTGGAGATTTTCAGTGGCAGCTGTACTGTAGTGCTTCCCATTCTGACCCAATATTTTATTAAGGAACTTTAAAAGAAAGTTGTTGCTRGCTTATAAAATGCCAGTCTAATAAYRAAGAGGTGACATTTAACGAAATCCACCCCCATTCAGCAAAGCACCCCCATTCAACAGTAAGCACTTTGCTCAAATCCTGTTTATTTAATGAAATATAATCACAAGAGTCCCTTTTAGGTTATTCTCGCATGATTTGTTGATTATTGATAGATTTAAGCACCTCTCCAAGTGCTTTGTTGAAAAAGGGGTGGTGTAGCCATTGCAGTGATTGTCACATCAATGCTGCATTTATAGAAGTGGAGGAGAATTCACCACATCAGAGCTGTTTCTTCATCTTGTTTAAAGCCAGGGAATTTTTAATAGCAAGCAAACCAGCTSAATCTTGACATCTTTTGTAACTCACACAAATAAATGTACAACTCCAAGCCATAAAATGGCATAAGGAAGTGCTGCATTTTTCCAAAACCACTTGTTATTCACCAGGACAATAAATCAATTACTTGTGCTCACAATCAGATGAGCAGACCTTTGAAATTCTTTTCCTAGCACCCATGAAACACCCATTAATGCAATGGGAGTAATAGGCCTGTGTCAGGAAACAAACAAATGGCTTTTGCAGATCTCCAGCTACAGAAAAAAAACAAAAGGTACTCGGTGCAATAATGCAATGTTTTGGTGTATGTTGATCTCAACTCTAAATTGCTGTTGCATAAAATAGCTCCAGAACACTCACCACAATGCACTAAAAATAAAAAAAAAACACTTGCTAGTGATGACAATCATAGCAAACCACTGAGAAAGTATGGTTTATTTTCATGAGTCACTTTTGCTTCTTATTGATGTCTCTCCTTCTCTTTAGGACTTCCAGCACACTTTTACTGTCCTTCTKGGGTGTAGCCTTATCAAAGGGGTAGCATCTGAACTATACTATAATTATCTCCATCCAAGCAACTATCATACTTACTCTATTAATCTGAGTGAAGTATCAACACAAATAATACCAAAAGAATAATAAAACCTRTATTTGGATAATTTTATTAGGTTGGGCTTTTTTTTTTTCCCCCAAGAACAAAACCTTTGTGATGTAGATTTTGGTCCACTGAGAAGAAAAAGCACCTTCCAGAATGACTGCCAAGTATTTGCTGTGGATGAGCATTTCTGCTTGCTATAACCACCAAGAATTCAAGGGCTTTAGCCAAAGCTCCATTTCAATTGTTTTCTGAGCCATAAARTACTCAAACAGAAGAGTCAAAACTCAACCCTTGCCAAATGTTTTGTCCTTTTGCTAGACTGACTTCACAGCACTTCACTGACAATGATTTGGAAATATTTAAACTAACTGGATGCTACATGTACATTTTAAATTGAAGTATTTCAATTTTCACTTCAATTTCCATTTCTKGCCTCCCACCACTTCCCAGGAATGCATCACCCTGAGAGAGGGGGCAGCCTTCTGACTTTCTAATTTGGAGACGGGGGGGCTGTTTTCAGTTGGGTTTTTTTTGTTTTGTTTTGCTTTGGTTTGCTGGGGTTTTTTTTTAGAAACTTTTAAACTTGCACCTGAAAAATGGAAAGAGATGAACTACATTTGGACTCCAGGATTGCAATGTGATGGGCACTGTTGCACAGCTGCACTGGCAGACAAGGACATGGTCTGAAGATGGACCAGGAATGACTCCCCTGCCAGCAGCATTCCAGGAGCTACAGCTCCTGCTCCTCACTGGGTGTTCCCTARGGACTGATGCTTTCCTGGAGACTGCTGAACMCYTCTGAAAGCTGAAACARCCTTCTCAAGGGCATKAACAGRAAGAGYTTTCCCCTSTGCCTGAAAGCCATGCTTCAAATCMCARCCCAGGTCACCCTACACCAGCGCAGCCACCCAAATTTGCCATCAGCGTGCTGTGCTCCCCTGGCACAGCAATGAATTGCTCTGGGGATGGCATGGCCAGGCTGACTGGCTCCATGTATGCCCCAAATGTAAATTCCCTTTGAGCCAAAATCCCTTGGAGCAGCCCAGGGCAGGTACTCACCCTCCGGCAGCGGCGGCGTGCAGGCACGTTCTCCCGAAGCTGTCGGGGGTGTCTATGTCAAAGCCTGCAGACAGCACGTGCTCATTACTAAACAAGGACACTATGCTATACTTTTGTCCTAGTTAAACCACARGAGACATCGCAGAGACAGAAAAATCAGTTAGTCGGGGAAAAAAACAGAACACAAGCAACTACAGTCAGAGAGAGAGAGAGAGAGAGGTTGTCACGGGAACGGCGAGCAGCTGCTCCCTTTGGCAGCTCTATAAAAAGAGATGTGAAGTTGAGGAGTGTTTATTCTGCATCCAGCTCCTCCACATCCCTGCTCACAGCCATGGGATGGGCACTCAGGAGGTAGAGACTTAGCAAGAGGACTGTGACAACAGGACAGAAGACAGAAAACACGAAGACATGAGGAAGAACCACAGAGTCAGCCTAAACAGCAATTGGGGCCATTTTTATTGTGTGTGGTTGTCAGACTGGGAAGAGCTTCCAGGACCAAGGATATTCATMATATGCAGGGATATTCATCAAAATGCACAAAGTCAAAGATATTAGCCTGGTAATGCTAACTCTGGTCACTCAGAGCGTTTTCCGATCCAGCGGTCAAGGTCAGAGCACACCAAGGCTTCATGTAATTACCATTTCCCACATTTCYTTAAATCCTACAGGACTCAAGGGTAAAAGTAACTGTAGGACATTTTACATGTTGAGTAACGAAGGAGTTTTCTAAGAAACTCGTATGATCTGGGTCAGGATTTTTTAACTCATAGGAACTCTTGCCTGGAAGAAGCAGAATTTGGGATTACTGTCTCTTTTGAAATGGTTGCATCAGCAAGCTCTGGCTTCTTCTGCTTTGGGCTCTGGTGAGGATCCCAAGACTGTTCTCCTGACACTACACTTTCACTCATTTTCCCTGTCATACCCACAGAGCTTTGGCCAGCCTAACTCTTTAACTACATTTTCAGAARCACACTTCAGCTGTATCTAAACTACACCAACATCAGTGAGATGTAAACACCTGTGCCAGCATAGACCCCAAAGAGATAATTTTAGAATTACTCCTTTGGGGGATTGCAGGGGGRTCCCCAAAACAAAACAGTATCTCACATTCCCACAGTTTGGAAAGGGGTTCTACATTCCCTCTTTACCCCTGTGAATTATTCTAAACTCTCTGAAGCTGCTAAAAGAGAAGAGCTTTGGGCATGAACAACACAGAATGGCTTTGGGAAAACCTCACATGTTCTGCCCCACACAGCCCAACACAGCAGCACAGGAAACTTTTCATTTGAATAATTCACAACGAAGAGTAGAAAGGGCTGCAAGCAGCAGAGACAAACACTGCTCGAGTTCCAGGGATGCTGGGGCTTTTACTCACCCGATGACAACAATTTCCTGCAGCAGTCTGAGTGGGCATTCAGTGCTGCTAAGTGTAAAGGGAACATGTTGTGGATCCCACACCTGAAAGGGACAAGAGACTCATGAGAAAATGCAGGTTACATATATACACATATACATACAAAAGCACCTTCCAGAAAGGCACCATTTTCTCAGGTTTTTCTAGGAAGATTCTCTCTTGGTGCCTGCCATTATTTTTATCTGTATTGCCTTAACAGCCTTCTCGAGAGTTAAAAATATTCTGATGCAGCAAAATCTTGGCATTATGCTCTGAACAGAATGTGGCAGGAAGGTTTCCAAAAAATCCAAGGCGAAGCCAAGGTAAGGGAGGAAGTAAGAGAGCAGATATTGCTTGGAGTCAATTGCCCAGTGAGCCACAAATTTCTGCACCAGCTACACATACGGCAACTGCCGTTCTGAGGGAAATGTAAATGCCAAAATCTTCTCTATATTATTTCTGAAATCTTTTTTTTTTTTTTTTGCAGATGACTCTTCACGCTTTCCTTTAGGCTGCCATGTCACATTTTTTTCCACATCCTAAGAACTAATTATCTAATTTTCCTATTTGCTCCAGTTACWCTCCTCCCCTCCCTTTTCACGTTTTCCTCCCTTTAACATATTTTTCCTCTTTTCAATCACACGATAGATTTCTCAGAGCAGACATGATTGGTAAAAAAATGAAAGGTAGAAAATAGATTCAGCCTATCATTAGTCTAAATCTGTATCACGCAACCATGTAGYTTTTAAACAAGCTGAGCACTCAGCAACTTTAATTAATATCAGGAAATCATCCCAGTTCATTCTCTAGGCATGCCACTGCTTACTGTCTTCAAATACTTTTGGGTCTGGACATCTCGGTGTCTGTCATTCAGTATTGTTTTGTGTAAAGCATCTTGTTATTCTAGAAATATTACCCTACTGGCAGTTCTCCAAGTGCACATAAACACGGAGTCTCTGAAACCAACTAGCTTGACAAGATTATCATCTACTGCCTGCTCCAGCAGATTTTTTTTTTTTAAATGACAAACTCTGGAACAATAGCAGATGGATTCATATCAGTCCCTCATTTCTGCAAGACAATTGGTGGATGGGAGAGTRTGATCACCTCATGGAAAAGGATCTTGTCTTTCTGCCAGACCCCCCATAAATCATGATTACTTACGCAGCTTAAGACAAAAATTAATGTGGATGTTTATAAAGATGTCATGCCCTCTCCAACATTTTATACATAAATGCATTTAACTACTTGGGTTTGTTTTAAAAAAGCTCATTCTTTCCGGAATCCACAGACCCATCCTTCCTCTGTCTTCACATTAAACATTTCCTCCTCACTGGTTCACTCCACTGAGGAGTGACTTGTCCTGCTGCACAAATTTTAATTTTGCTATTATCAGATCTATATTTCAGAGTAAATCTATTAAGAGATGATCTGACAGCCTTTCTTTGAAGAAAACAGTGCAAGCTCCACTGAGCTGCTGCAGCTGTMCAAACAGGTGGCATTTCCTAGCCATGGATTCATGTATGTAAGGTAGGACTAGGCATTCTGTATTGCTGTGCTTATCCCTACACCCATTTCCCTCTGTCTCCTCTCCACCTAGCTAASTAATGCAATATTATTCATCTTTTTAGTCAAGATTTCCACTCAGCARAYGTTTTGGCTGGTTTCCACTGAAATSCACTATCTGCACATTTGCTAGCCAGTGCCCACTTCTACAATGCTGTTCACACTGGTTCCTCCCATCACTTGCACACTTTCCCTTCCAGTGCAGTTGTCTCAAAGCCTGACCGAGCTGTCTGCAGTTGTTGTGGACTGTGCTGCAGAGTTTTCTTTTATAAACCTGTTTGGGGAGCTCACCCAGAGTTATTTRCATGCAGTACATATTGAAAGCACATTTAGCACAGGCTGCAGCATCGTTTCCATCTGCCTCGTATCTCTGAGCCAAATTCTTATTTCACTTATTTCTGCTGCTGGAAAAAGTATTTTATTTGATCAATGTTCCAGTCATCCAACTGTGAAATAGAAATTTCTAACTGGATAACCCTGATTCCAAGAGTGGGCTATCCCACTGCATCTCATTTTCCCTTAAAACCTCAAGATAACAGCCAGCAACTAACTGCACTGGAGAAACAGAGAGGGAAAACATACACCTCTATTAAGATACCAAGATCTTTATGCTGGCTGTATTAATAAAATCCAGTGATGCTAGTTGCAGCCTGTGGAATTGCATTATCCATGCAATCAAAAATCTATTCCACCTTCTGAATTTGTACAGTGACAGTTGTACTCGACCAAGGAGAACAGGCAAATGTGTCACTTGCATAAACATCCTCAAGCAAACAAAAAAAATACTGAGAGTTGCAAGTATCTTCCAAATTCAAACTAATAATTTCCAATCAAAAGCAGGGTTTCCTAATAGGTAAGTTAAGAGAAGCCACTGATTTCTATGGCATGTTCTATGCAGAAGACAAATTATATTTTGGAGACATGGATGTAATTGCTAAAACCTTACATTCATGAAATCAGATGCTGCTCTTAAACATCTGGTACAGATATTACAGATATCCCTCATGGCACTGCATTACCCTGATCTCACTCCCCTCTGTTTATGTTCAGGGGTGCTATTCTCTTCTGACACACCCTAAGAACCTGACCATAACTMAACAGCACTCAAGTACTTGCTGATATATACATATATAAAAACATGCACACACACACTCCATGCACATAAATACCACTGTCCTACATCAATGCTTCAGGATAAAGAAACAGCACTTGTACTATTTGTAACCATGCAAGTGGGCACAACAGGAACTTAGCAGAGTTTACTTTCCCTTCACATTTCCCAACTGATCCTATTTTAGTGTCATGTCACCCACTGATGTACAGTACAATGATGCTTCTCCATTTTAACCTTCCCATTCAGAAGGTGAGGAGCAGCTCTGTTTSCAGGCATTGGACAGAACAGTCAGTCCTTAGAAACAGCTCCACTTGAGGCACCTACTTGGCAGTATCAGCTCCRCTGGTTATGAGGGTGTTAATCAAGAGCTCGTGTCCATATCTTGCAGCCACGTGCAGAGGGGTGTTACCATCCTTATCAACACAGTCGATTTCCCCTCCTGCAAAAGATATTTTCATAYAGTTTAACACTGAAAAACTCAGCATGAACCAGTGACCCCAAGTGCTGTTTGTCTCCAGTGAGTGCAGCATGAGCAGCCCAGCCACACAGATATTAAATTTTCCAGAGCAAGGACCAGCACACAGCAAGCTGTCAGCTGTCAGCCATGGGTACTGAACAGGAACATTTCACCTCCCTCTCCACCTGCAGCAGTGGGGAAGAGGGGGGGAATGGGATAACAAACTATTTGGGTTTGCTGCCTGTCTGAAGGTACAAATGGATGCCCTAAACTAAACTACAAAATAATCTGCTGAAGCTGCACCCTGATTTGTAAAGGCATCGTCACTCAGCCTTATCTGTATGACAACAATTTATATGAGTTCATTCAGGAGGCCAGAGTTATTTACATGCAGTACATATTGAAAGCACATCAGGAACACACTGCAAACAAACGTGTTGTGTGCTTTTTGTGCTCCCTACCAAAGAACAACCAAACAGTGCTTAAGTGGAACTTTTCCTTTTGCAATTTAAGCCTGGCATCTTGTGTTTTATTCACATAAGCAGGAAAAATGGATTATTTCTTTAGATAGATTACAAACAAGTCCCTGTTCTTTTTTTGGACCGAGCAATGTAGCTTTTTCAGTCTGTTCTTGACAGTCAGCTTACTGTGCTCCAACTATTCTCTCCTCTCCCCAGTCCTCTCCAGCTGGCCTGAATCCTTCTGGAAACAAAATGTCAAAAGCCAAAACCAGTCCTAGAGCTGACATCTCCCAATGCAGCGCTGAGCAAACAGGATTACCTCATGCCTGCTGGCTACACTCCTATCTGTGAACTCCTGGACACTACACAGCACCATGTGCATCCATGATCCATTCCTTCAAGCATCACAACACTCTTATTGATATGTGGTCAACAACCTTCTGATCCTCTAAAAGACCCAGGTCCCTCCTCGAGGGACTGCCACCCACCTGGCTGCTGCCATTCTGAACTTGTCCAACTGATACTCCTGCCTCTGTGTGTGATTTTTCTTTTGCTTTGCTTGCATTATTACTTCTGTCTCCAGCTCTACAGGATCATTTTTCATTCTGACTCCACCTTCTGCCAAACCAGCAGTCTCTCCCAACCACATTTTTTTTCTCCAAATGTTAAAAGCACATTTTCTATTCCACTATCCAAGCTTCTAATGAAAAAACTGCATAGTTCCAGACCCAGAAGGGAAACTGAAAACTCCCTCACTACACCTTCCATTTCAACAACAATCCATTCAGTACTAATCTCTGAGTGTAGTTTTACAACCAGTTATGCATCAACACTGTAATATTTTAATACTCTGCTAGTTTGCTGTGAGAAAACTTTCTGAAAGCATGTAAAAAGTCTTGCTGATATCAGGATAGGGAAATATTTACTGCATGTCCAGTATCGACAGGAGATAACAGGGCTCACTGCAACAAGAAGAGTTCTAGTAAAGCACTATACAACATGCYCTGAAAAGCTGTGGATKCMCCATCTCTGGAAGTGTTCARGGCCAGGYTGGATGAGGCWMAGAACAACCTGGTCTAGTGCAAGGCATCCCTGCYCMTATCAGAGGKGTTARAACTAGGTAATATTTAAGRTCCCTTCCAACCTTTCTAATTTCTAATTTTTTGATGGCAACCAAAGGTCAGTGAGATATTTGAACAGGTTCCCTGGGGCAGAGCATCCACCAGTGGAGATCTCCACAAACAGAACCYGCCCATGGGAAAGTCAGAGGGCTGTGCTGTGTTCACAAAGCCTTTTAAACCACAGTAGGAGAGAATTGTGATGCTCCAGCTTCTTTTACTCTTGAGAAACCTATGCAAGATATTGCCCACTTTGGCTGACCTATGTAACATTCTCCAGCATTTCTTATTCCCCATTTTTAAAGAAAAGCATTACATTTGCAGTTTTCCAATTTTAAGGTAATCCATTCTTCCTCTGCAATTCGCAAGATAAAGCAACCAGAAATTGAGACATGGTTAGCCAACTCATTAAGTACTGCAGAATGAAACTCAGTTTCTTTAAATCATTGACATTTCCCTCTTCCACAAGATCCCATGGCAATGAGGCATAAAGTACTTGCAATGAGATCTGTGTAAAACACTAAATTTAGAGGGGCAGAAAACAAAGAAAGAAAGAAGTGAAACCCAAGTAACTGGAAGGAGAGTAGAGAGGCGTGAAGGGCAGATGAAGAACTGCCAGTCTTTTCACACACAAATCCAACAGCGAGCAAACAATGGCTCTAAGCTGAACATATTACACTAAACAACTTAAAATTGCAGCAAAGTACAGATTCTTGCATTTTTCCCCAAATCCCTTTTATTGCTRCCATTTTTTTTCATCCTAGGAGAGAGATGGCAACAATTTGCATGATGACCTGAAAGAATCATGATGTACTGGAGACCCCCATTTTAAAATACAATCTTGTTTAAATGTGTCATTGCTTTTAAAGCACAATTGTTCAGCCATCTTCAACATTTTACATTTCAGCTCCAAGTCTGGGATTTTGGAAAACAAAAAAAACCACCCAACCAATGAGCAAATCCCAGACCATCCTGTCTCATGTGGTGGCCCAAACTGAGAAGCTTAAGGAAAAAAATCAGTAACAGCAACCTTTGTCATTCAGAAATAGGCCTCTGCCAGATTTCCAACAATAATAATTGCTATACTCTATAGTATTCTTGGAGAAAAAAAAGATGCCTGAAAAATGACTGAWAATCAGGAATCCTGGCTATGCCAGAACAAACAAGGTAGTGCTGCTCCTCCCTCCCGAGTATTTAATAAACACTTCATGGAGACAGTGGTGAAGGATGAGCTAAGAGAGGTGAGAAAAGCACAGMTGCTGAGTGCAGAGTAGAAAAAAACAATTTGAACTTTAAGAAGACCAGGTTTCCCAAAGGAGGAGAACTAGAAAATTGTGTATCATTCCCAGCAAAGACCTAAATACTCCTCCCAACTCTTGTTTTCGGGTTAAGAATCCAAACAGATCAGCTGGAAGATTATAGAATTTTGTGAACAACCAAAGTCTCAGCTTGTGATGACACGATGAAATGAGAGCTGCCAGTGCAGCTCCAAGCCTGAAGTTCACAGAGCTGCCCTCTGGGTCAGAGCACCTGAGAATTGCAACATTAGGCATGCCTGATGTCTTGGAGAGCCATTGCAGAGGACAGGAACTCACCGTTCTGGATGAGGGTCTGCGAGCGCGTGAACCTCCCGTGGACAGCTGTCATGTGCAGGGGGCTCTTCCCATCCTTACTCTGACAGAAATGAAACACCAGCGGGTCAGCATGTGATGACTTATGGAAACAGAGGTACAGTGAGTAGAGAACAACATTTTGGGTTTCAGAGAAAGAAACTAAAACCAGGAAAGCTGAGCAATGAGAAAATAGCATGGGAGCGGTACCAGCCTCTACTCACTTTTCACCTTCGTTGGCAAGAACAATCCCTAGCTTCTTTTTATTAATTCTGAGTTTAAATAGTACACTGATTATTCACAGATCTCAAGGGACTTGCCAGAGACTTGTTAAATGCTGAAAACTAAACGCCAGTTTCCCGGATGGGAAACTGAAACACACGGTTTAAACTAAAGTAGTCAAAATCTTATACAAACACAGAAGAYCTCAAATCTTCTGATACCTGTACCAGTACCCTCTGTTAGATAACAGTGAGATCCTTTCAGCTTCCTCAAGATGCATCAGCTTTGCCTCAAGAATATTCAGATATCCTAAGCAGAATCAGACTTTGTCATCCCTGGGCTCTAAAGTAGGTAAGAAGCAACCTTCAGTTTTATTCCMTGGAAAGGGAACTTTGTGGAATCAGGTTTAATTATATCCCTATTCTAGGAGGAAGGAAAACACTAAAAAAGAATAGCTCCTTGACTATCCCTGAGATAACATTCTGAYAGAGCTCCTGGGACTTTATTTTAGYACTGATTCGTGCCTCCATGAAAGCAGCTGGCCTAGAGTTTACAACAATCATTGTATATGACAAGACACTGAGAGTTTCACTGCTGGATATAATCTCACCCAAACAGTTTCACGATCAACATTCTCAGCATCACTCTAATTCCATCAGGGATTTAAAGCCATGCTGTATTTGTCATTACAGTTTCCGCCTGAGATACGCAAAATAGGATAAAGTAAAACCATAGAGCTGGAATTCAAGTTTTACCTGAATATTAACATCTGCCCCATTATTCACTAGTAGTTCAAGACACAGTGCTCCGTGAGTGGAGGCAGCAGCAAAATGCAAGGGGGTGAATCCATTRTTATTAGGCTGATTTACATTAGCACCATAGTCAATCAGCTCATTAACAACAGAATCCTGACCATTGTAACAGGCAATGTGGAGTGCAGTATTTCCATAGATGTTCATCTCATCAATCTAAAAYGAGACAAGGAGACACAGTTAAAATTACAGATATCAGCCCAGCGTTTTACGTAATGCATCAYGCACTGCAAATGGAAATAGCTGGAGGCCTGAACTGTCATAGGACATAGTTCTCACCAGCACATTTCATGGACAAATTATACTCCCAGACAGCTTAACTTGGAATGCTTTACCTTTCCTATTATTAACTTTTTATCATAATGACAATTTCTAAAAGCCGGTGGGAAGCTTAAAGCTGATAGCAGGACTACGTAATGATGATAATGATGACAAAAGTCCTAACATGCTGGAAAGCTTTTCCATGTAAGTGGAAACACAGAATGAATACAAAACTCACAATCTTGATGTTGAAAAAAAATTACAACAGTGAGTATTSAGTTTTTGTGAACAGAACCAGGCATAAGAGCTGTTTCCACAGATTTATTYTGGATAGGGAGTGAAGGTATCTGAGTGAAGGGAATGCGAAAGTACAAAGTCATTTACACGTCAGTAAGAAACAACTTTCAGTAGCTGAGTATTATAAAGATGTAATAAAGRTTATGTTACTTCTTGATGACCAACTTAGTATTCAATTGCTGTTCTGTGAAACAGGACAAGACAGATTGTACAAAAAATGACAGGAACAGCCTCCCATGAAATACAGGCATCTCAAAGATCATATCCCCAGTAGTGGAGAATGGGGAAGTTAAAGAGAGTTAATAGCATAGCCCTGCTAATAACAGGAAACAGCTATTCCACTTCAACTTCACAGTCAACAGCCTGTGAACATGAACTTCTGACAATTTTTTGGCAGGTCAAGTCAACTGAAAACGCCATGGCAAAGGCAATGGCTTTATTTGACAACTCTGATTAACTGTCTGATTAGCTCTTCTGGTCATCTCACCACTGCTTTGAGGAGTTGATAAAAAAGAGAAGTATGTACCTTGAAAAAAAGTTATTTTCCAGAGTGAAAACAATCCATCAGCTAMAGAGGAAATACAGGTCTCTAAACTCAAACAGCCTGAACAACTCTTTATTAAAGTAAGCAGTGTACATGTTGAAAACAACCACTCCTCATATCAAAGGAAATGCTGACTGAAGGAAAATGTCACTACTCCATCTTCTTTTGAAGGAACAGGATATATCTCCTGATTTCTTCAGCAAGATGGCCTGGAATTTCCTGCACCTATCAGACTTTCCTTAATACAGAATGTTTTCTGATTCTTGAACCAATAAACYACATGAAGCATGAGTTAGTCTGGAAAATGGGACCCCTTTTCTTTAGCAGCCCCTATCTTTAGCATCATCTATAAGAAAGAAGAAAAGACTCTGAATAGGGAGAAACAAAGTTGCATTACCACATACCTCCACCCCCAGGTTAAGGAGTTGTTTCACAATGTTAATCTGCCCATTGGATGCAGCTGCATGGAGTGGGGTGTAACCCTTCTTGTCTTTACAAGTCACTTCTGCACCATGATTAATCAGTAAGGCAACAACTTCCAGGTGACCTTCAAAAGTTGAAAGATAGTTATCAATGAGTACACCAYCCTACAACATCACTTCTCCCAAATTACTGCTTTCTTGCTAACACACTGCCCTTTCACTGCTGTTTCATAGTGCTCCCACAGCTTCACAAGAGAAGAAAAAGCATTTTTGTACATGTTTCTAATCCTARCTCCAGGCCTTGTCAAGAAATCCATGCAATCACCTTCCCCAGATGTRTCAAATTTCTCTTCACTGAAGTGATTTTCCAGTTGCTAAAAGAACAAAACCACRCCTCTTTTCCATTTATTTCTCTGAAGCTAACAGTTTGTGTTTTACTCTCCCTCTCACAGAGGATAGTGATACATTGAGCATAGGAGCAGGGCAATGGCTCAGAACAGCATCCTATTAATGTCACCTGCAAACACAACTACTAACACTTACTGGGGTTTGTTAGAGATGAAAAATAACCTTCATAAATTATAAAATTAAGATGAATAGCCTTATTGCTTCATGCTGAGACAGAATTGYCTGTCTTAGAATTAAACATTTATTTTGTCTAACACCATACAAAGCTGTGCACCATCAGAGTTGCACAGCACTGTCATGACAGGGACAGATGTGATCATGTGCAGGACCTAGGAAAAAATATGTACAAAGTCCATAGATTAGTGTCTAAATTAAATACTCAAGAAACTATGTGGGGATTTACACATTAAGATGCTCTAGTTTCATTATCTAACTTCTGCCTAAATTGCACTACAGACTCCATTGCTAATTTAGGCCTYAGATGCTATCTAAATACTTTCAAAAGTACCTCATGAATTTCTGAAAATATTTAAGTGAAAAAGAGGTGTGGAGTTGCACAGCCTTGTAAGAGCCTTTCAAATCTATGGAGKGGTGTTCAAAGCTCGTTAGCTCAAAAGCCACATCACAGTTGTTGGCAAGAACCTTCCCATCTGTCTGTGTATATCAGAAAACCACACAATATGCTTTTCTCACAGTTTGAAATCTCCTATTATCTCATTTCCAAAAGTGCCAAGATTAAAATCAAGATTTCTGACAGGTCACATGAAAGAGTTCCTGGCTGAGGGCACAGAGCTCCCCACAAASTGTAACCTGAAATCTACTGCTCAGCCAGCAAAAGCTCTTGAACAAGCATGACCACTATCACAGGCAATCTTGTTCTAGCCTTTTTAAATTATAATRCCCCGCTGTAAGAAATTTGCCTTTAACTTGAAAGGAATGATAAAGCCAATTGATTTAATTAAAGAGGATTTGATAACACCACTGATTTTTTGAACAGACATTCGGTTGCTCTTGTCCACTCTGGAATAAAAGATGACAATTTGCTCCTAACAGGAAGAGAAGTGCCTATTGTGCACTTCCTAAGAAAATTATAATTTAGCTAACTTATAAACGTCAGTAAATACCAAAATTTATGATTATTGTTACCTGCATTTCACTGAAATAAGCTTTTAGCAAAAACGGAACCAAATATAACCTGTTCTTTTTCMAGCACAAATATAGTCCAGGCTTGACTTAGAGTTAGGATAAAAAGACCAAAATGAAAAAGCAAGACAAAAAACCCACAATTAACTGTCTTAAAAAGGAATTCACAGCCAAGATCTCCCTATCTGTGAGCCCAYAAATGGACAGTGTTTATTTAGATCAGTTGAACCTTTCCCTCTTCAGGGTAATTACAACACTCACTCTCCATGGCCAGGTTTGTTCTTGTCCATTTTAAGACATGCTGTTCATTTGTGAACAAGAAATCAAAAAGAAGGAGCAGCAGCCCAAGCCTTACCCATGTACGCTGCCCAGTGAAGAGCTCTTCTGTCCTTTTTGTCAAAAGCATTGATGTTTGCCCCCTTGGCTAAGAGCAAGTTCACCATCTAGAAGKAACAACAGCAGGTAAACCAACCCTTCAGATCACACACTCAAAATTTTATAGCAAATCAATCTTGCAATAAAGCTGGGATCACAAAATGCTGCATTTGAACAAGAAATTTGTGACTGTGCATTCATGACRTGGACTGGTGACAGTCACAAGTAACCAGGACAAGTTCTGTGTCCACAGATGGGCTGAGAGCCTTTGCAGTGTGCTGCAAATTCAGCTTGGCAAACCACCTGGAAGACAAATGGGGCTGAAAGTGAAACTCTGCTATAAGTTTTACTGATAAGACACATTAAACCCTGTTTTCTGTGGATTGGGACAAGATTACTCCAGACCATGTTGCAAGAAATCTTAGGATCTTCTTGATCTCCACACAGAGTGTCTATTTCTTGTGCCACCATGGTGATTTTCATTATTCCCCTGTGCACATAGCAGTGTGGACAGCACCAGGCTGCTTTCTGCACAATGCTGGCCTTTTCCACAGCACAGATAAGAGCTGAAAAGCTGCTTTCCCCACTGCCAACCAAACAACATTAAATGCAAGAATAATAAGGGGAGGGGGGGGGAAGGAAATCACATCTATTTTTTCAGCAAAACATCCTAAAATCCTAAAATCCAGAGCTAGATATTCCTCTCATACACTGTTTTGCTGCAAAGATCAGCTAATAAGTAACAGCATATATTCAGTTCTTGTTTCTGGTATTACTCTCTATCCAGAAGATTTTGATTATGATAATTAGACACTRTAGTGCAGTGTTTTAAAGATCAAACACCATCACCATTTTATAGGAACTACCATTCCTCCTACTTTTTTATTTACAGTACAACTGATCAACTTTTGTTGACAAAAGCCTACTGATCCAATCCAAGAGTTTTTATTCATGATCTGTATCTTCAGGTATAGAATGGGCAAATGAGGATACTTGTACCTGGTTCTAAGGACTAGCAAAACCTAGGAGGCAAAAATCTAGGGGCTTTATTTACATAAGTTTTTTCATATAGTGAAATAATAATACTAGAAGGGTTTGCTTGTATAAGTRGGAAAAAACAGAAGTGCATTATCTAGAAGACCAATTAGAAAAAGCAGAGTGACTGGATATCACACAGCTGCACATTTCTTCAGTATGAAAGGAATCCAACAGTTTTCCCTTCTTTCCACTCCACCACTCTTACTTTCACAGGTAGCCCAGCTCCAAGGAGCCAAGGAGCCCCGGAGCTGGTGGAGCTGGTGGCACAGCCAGCCTGAGAGTGCAAGCACACCTCACTTGGAGAGTGCAGGCACCTCCAGCCGTGTCTGTGCAGGTCGGGAACCCATCACACAGTCTGGGGAGCAGCCGAGTGGCAGAAACCAGGGGGTCAGTGACACAGGGCTCAGTCTACACCCAGCCAAGGGCACAAAATGAGACAGCAGAGCAGCAGTGCTGAGCTGAACGAGGCCTCCAGGCTCACCTCGATGTGGCCGTTGAGCGCGGCGTGGTGCAGCGCCGTGCGCCCGCCGCGGTCCGACACGTTGACRCTGCTCAGCAGGGGGATGAGGATCTCGGCGCACTTCACCGCCTTGTTGGCAGCTGCCACGTGCAGCGGGGTCTGCCAGTTCTTGTCCCGGGCATTGACATCGGCTGAGTGCTTGATCAGCACCTGCACGGCCTCCTGCAACGGCAGCACAGCCACATCAACCCTGTGTGTCACTGCACAGGGGCCAGGGGAGGTACAGAGAACAACATCTGTTCGAGCCACCTCCCAGGCCTGGGGAATGGGATTGTTGAGCCAAATGCCTCAGCACACAGCAGCTCTGCTGTCACTTAGAGCAGCCAAAACTTCCCAGATGGATCTGAGGATGTCCTGTGCAGAGAACCCATTCTGTTTGGTTGATTAACCTTCAGTGAAGAAATGAATGTACTCACTCGAGCCATTACTCYTGKCACTGATGGGCTCAGCCTTGGCCAGCACTGGGACAATCCTGGAGCTGCCTGACTGTCACACATGGAGCAGCTTCCAGCAGCTCACAGAACCCATCTCACAGAACCCACCCCTACAGCCCCCCACTACCAGAACCTTGCCACACAAACCCAACACACACTGCTACAGGGATCATTTACAAAATGAAAAGCATGTCAAAATAACAGCAAAGTGCTGCATGTTTTATTTATAAACAGGAAAAAGGAGAAAATTTTAAGAAGAGTGAAAACAAAATTTTAGCTTTGCAGAAACGTAAGAATGCTGGTGTTCCCAGCTTTGCATTAGCATTCCTTTCCTCCCCAAGGGCTAAGCACAGGCCAAGGGTCTTCACTGCAATATCCATTCTGTCAGCCTGAGACCAAACAACATCTTTAAAGGTTAATTTTGTTGGTTAAAAGTTAATATTTCCCTGTGAGAAAACGTACTGCTCTTTCTTGAGAGCCTCTCTTGCCGGAGAATTCACAATCAGTCCATTTGTGCTTCTATTCGTGTATCTGCCATTAAGCAAGTCAAATAAAAAAAACCATGTTTTTCTCAAAATTACATTTCTTTTCTTCTTCCTTTTCCACTCCCAAAACAAACAAAATASAAAGCAGCTACTGGGACACAGTAGCATTTAAGCAGCCTTGTCTGATAAATACAACTCACATCCGGTATGTGAGAGAGCCCTAGGTCGTACATAGTATCTTACTCTTTTTCCATAAACTGCAAAGTTTTCTGTTAAGCCCAGCCAAAATTTTATTAATGAATAACAAATGCATACAGTATGTTTAAAYAGTACTTTTATATCTAGAATGGCCCAGGAGAGTGCCTGCAGTCTGTATAAACACTACATACATTACTAAGAGTTTTGTCTTTGTCCTCAACTGATCTCAGAAAAAAAATTCATTTTCTACAGTCATCTCACAAACTGTCCTCTAACAGATTTGCTCAAAGAGTGACATTGCATCTCTTACAACACCAATAATGATGGATGACTGTTGATGTCTCAATAGGATTTTGTTTTTTAAATTACAGGCCTACTATTTTAAGAGTCATTTAAATGCAATTCACTGGAGACCTGCYCAGCTGGGACATGAAGTCAGCAGGAAAATTCATGCACTCTTAATGAAACAAAGAAAAAGTTAAAGGAGAATTTTTAGAAGTGAATAATAAGGATTGAACAGCCTAAGTTTAAAATATTTAAACTTTAAAGAAAAAAACATTTACGTATTTTTGTTTACTTCTGCTGCTTTATCAGATTTGAGATCAGAAGTTAAAGTCCTTATGGAAAAAGTTTAATTCTATGGTTTTTGAAAGCATGACCTTTCCCCTTTTATTAATATAGTTTTTTCATATGCATGCAGTGCCCAGCTTTGGTATAAGCCTCTGCAGTCAGTGTCTCTAACTATGCCAAATTATCASAGTGAAATCTCCTCAACTTTTCCAAACTGTGTAAGGCCAGAAGTTGATATATCCATTAACAATCCTACACAGACACACCTAAGGGATGCTGATTTGTAAATGAATATTTAAATCCCTAAAGCCCCTGAAAAATCAWTAAGGCATAAGTAAAGAAGAGTCCATTCTTTTAGCCAACATATAAAAGGGTTCAAGGAGATAACTYCTGAATTCTGTGAAAGCTTCATAGTAGAAGATAGATAATAAAATTTGTCAATGATCATTCCAAATGCAATGGTACTCATGAGAACTTCCAAAACTACACCAAGTCCTAATGGCCAACTTCTGGGCCACTAATTCATCCCCTACTATCAGTGGGAACTCTGAATTCACCACTGCTATCTACTGCTATCACTATCAATGCTGCCCATTTGTTCACTTGTGTAAGAAGGTAAAAAGCACCAATGAAAGAACCTCAAAAATGCTGACTCCTGTTTCCAAATTGTTACCAAAAGCAGCAATTTTAGTATAAATAATGAAGAAAAAAGGCCAGGAGAACAAAACTGTATGTGTTTATAAAATGCATAGTAGGCCATGAAAAGTCATCAAAGAATGGTGCCTTCACTGAGAGGTACCAGAACTGCCAGCACACCTTCTCATTGTGCTTCAGCTGACAAAGAGTTAAAGGTGACACCCAAAGCCACAGAAAGACATACATTTTCTGTCAGGACTGCTGCTGATGATAAAAATCATGTACTTTGACACACTGGAAAAAAGAAACCAAGCACACTGTGATTCCCGCATCAGAAAGACTGTGGCTGTTTTTTAAGGTTGAAGTCTGATCTTTGTTTTCCAACATGGCTTTTTGTATTTTGCCTCATTACAGCACTCAGATACACAGCATATGAGATATTCCTTTCAGAGGGTTTCAGTGGATGCCAGCAGCTGGGAAGCTCAGCCAGCAGCCAGACAATGCCCGAGTTCAGAAGCGAGCCCAGGATTCCTGCCTCCAGGCTTGGCAAGCACTAGACTGTTACGGAGGTGATTTCAGTCCATCAGTCTCTGGAAGACAGCCACCCTCTGTCTCTTTTACAGCCCCTCCCCTCATCCCCAGCAGCCAATTCGGTCTGCAYTTGGGCTCACTGTTAACTAAGTATTAGAAGGATAAAAGTGGATAGGGAGCTCCACAATGGAAAGCCAAGAATAATGGTGCAGTGTGRAAACAGCCATGCCCAAGCTGCACTTCCAGTAGTTATTGCTGCTCCTTTTTAAAATAGCAATGGAAGAGGTACAACACGATGCCAGAAGATTTCTGTTTGTCAAGGAGAAGAAATATGGGCAAACCCTCCCTTATGCATGAATTAACAGAAAACCGAACGGATGCCTTGGAATGTAATTAACCAAAACAAACTATGCGGCAATGCATGTTGGATCACATCCACATCCACTCCCTTCTGGCACACACACAGCATGCACACATCCACACAGGGATTTATTCCTCTTTTTTTCACCACCTGAAGATGATGTGGGCACAGTGGAGCACCGTGGATTCTATCCCATGTGAGTTCTGGTCRCTGCTCCATATGACTTGCTATGGTAATGTAAAGCAAAATGGAAATAGAGCACGTGAAGGCTCAGGAGCAGCTACAGGTAACTTGTAAACTCCCCATGACASCCACTACAGCTCTCCAGGGTCTGCTTCTCCCCCAGCACCTTGTTCATGTGTAAAAACAGGGTAAAAATCAAATGTGACTCACCTCACTTCTTGAAGCAACTGCTCGATGGAGAGGAGTCAGCCACATATTGTCCTTGGCATTAACACGAGCGCCTGCAAATAAACAGAGCAGGTTACATGCATGCCTTGGGTGTGCCTTGCCCAGCTGAGTACATGGTACTCCCAGYGCTCCCCAGGACTCTCCTGGCACCATGTTCACCTTGGAAATGCATTTCCAGATGTCAGATGGATAAAAGTGTGATTTGGAAAGAAAGGAACCGGATGGATAGGGGCATTATTAGGAACTGCTTTGTAAACGAGACACAAAAGAAGCAAGATTTGTTGGAAGGAATTACACCTGTATGTATGGATATGTATGTCTATGTGTAAGCATTTTTTTATATCAGCTGATACAGCTTGGGGGAAGAAAAGGATGGATTTGGGCTGGCTTGCCAGAAAAGGGGATAAAGGAAGAATATTTGACAGGTGCMGTGGTTCTGGGTGACTGCAGATCCAAAAATAAAAAAAAATAAAAGGAATCCTGTACATTTATATGATCAAAAAGATTTGCTTGCAAGAACTATTAAAGCTATTCACTCAGAAAGGAAATCTAGTGATAAGGACTAGAGAAGCTAATTTTTAAAAGGGCTTAACCTGAAAATATTATAACTTACAGGTTTGTAGGTAGCAGTACCAGTCTGAGAAAAGTAGYACAGGCAGGAAAAAACGKAGAGAAGCACAACTGTCTTGCACAYRGCCTGGGTGAGCCTCTGAACTTCATGAACAAAGGGATTCTTAAGCCTTATTTTGCATCATAACTTAAGAGCATACAAAAGGATGCAATTAATAAATCCCAGTCTCTGAATCACCAACACCTTCTGAGAGCTGATTCTCAGAAATACTGAATGCTTGCCTGTGAATCCCAGTGGTTATTGGGAATTGTGCTAGATAATCAGAAAATAAACAAGTCCTTGCATATTAAACAAGTCAGGATGCAGTCTTTTGGCTGYAAGAAAAACAAAGCCACTTCTATAACTACTGCAACAATTAGAAGCAATCCTCCAAAATCACCTCAGAACCTGGTATACCTGGTGGTACAACCTGCCCTCTGGAAAAACTTCCTTTAGAAAAGACAGTTTCAAAGAGTTTTCTAATTMATCTCTTTAAGTAAGGAAGCTTTTGGCTTCTTTTGTCTCCGTGAGAAAGCCATTACAATTGACACGTTAGTATCCTGCCCTTTGCCAGCACTGTGTGAGGCTCTAGAGACAAAGCAACAACTTTCTCCACCCTCAGGAAACCAGCAGGACTTCAAGGCACCTTCCATTATCCTGATTTGACCTGGTAGGGATATTGGAGATGCAAACTGCTTATGTGAATTCCTAGTSATTGACAGCAAATACCGCTTTTTGGGTTTAGAAATTTATTTTGTATTTTCCTTGGGCTTTTGCCTTACGTCCTTAACTAAGGTTTCTTTTGTTTTAYCTCTACCCATTCACTAATTCTTACAAGCAGATGGTCACAAATCAGAAAGGCTCCTGTGGGGAGTAGAAAAGTGTGACAAATGTATTATTCCTCAGTATTCAACAACTCCAGTGGCATGGGTGAGTATGAAGATGATGACAAAATCTACAGAGGTATCTCTATCAGTAGCTATTCATGCCCTTAACTCATCCATTTACCCTTAGAGAAACTGAAATAGTTGCCAAGAAAGCAGCTGAAGAAAATAGTGAAAGGAAATCTAGCCCAGTATAAATAAAGTAATATACAGCATGCTACCAGGCTTTTCTTTCTCAGCTGTTTTCCACATCCCTTCACTTCCTTGTGCCTCTTTATGGAAAACAGAGAAATTGTTCTTAGGTGTCTAATTCAATGCAACAGCTGATGATGTTTGTGAGTTCTGTTTTTCAGCAGCTACACAGTTTGTTGCCTGCTGAAAACAACACAAAACTTACACAACCTGCTGTTGTCCATTTACTGAGACACTCATATTGTGAAGAGATTTTTCAAGAMWTTTCCCCCCATACTGCCCATTTCCYTCACCAAAATTCATCTTCTAGATTCCCAGTAGTTCTTTGCARGCAATGGTTAATGACAATGAAAAAACTTCACCGGCACTGATGCACTCCTTTGGGTACAGAAAATATCTGTAATTTTATGGATGATCAAGCAGAGGCACTGGGAGAGCAATGCTCAGATTTTCAAAGGTGTCCTCKGCACTCCAGGAACCTGAGGGTTCATCCTGTGACAGCCCTGAGGACAGCCTTGTGAAAGCAGARTTACACAGAAACCCAATTTCAAAGACTAAGCGCTCCAGAACATGCTAATACATCTAAAATGAGCTGAACCCCAGAAGCTTAAATTTTCAAGACCATCCCACAGGACATCCTCAAAGTCCATTGGAAAACCCTCTCTTCACTCTAGACCAAGCACCCTAACCACATTTCAATGCACTTTCTACAATACTCCATWAATTAATGTGTGTCTATAAAGACAAAAAGAGCTGATATACAATCAAATTGGTGTCTATTTTGTCATTCACAGCACAATCATCCTTGAAAATATAAGCTGCTTTAAAGATTTCACTGAAAATCCTTTCAGGCAGCCAGAGCACCCAGCCATCCCACAAAATATCTACTTTTTAAAATAGCATCCTTCAGAGTAAAGCCTTTTCTTGGCCTCACCTTCTGCACCATGCAGTTGGGAGGGCTCATACCCCTGAGCCTGACAAAAAGGTTTAGCTGTAGGGATTTGCTTTGTGAGGCTAAAAATGTTACAGATAAAATCAAGAGAGGAAACTTTCTGAATTCTACTTTTCTTTAATATGGTTGGTTGTAATCTTTGCCATTATTCGCTCTCAATTTTTTCTGCCAAAAGAGGAAATAAATCTGAAACTGCCTCTGTTCTTTTGATATCTGAAATAAACAACTCAATGATGGCTTTTAGGAATAAAGTTAACATCTCTTTATCATAACCCAAGTACAAGTTTCCATCCAGCACATCTGCCAAATCCAGATCTCTAGATTCCACAGTCTAAATCTCCAATATTAGGGATAGTCAATGGAGAAAGAAAACTACTCTTTAACCTATTAATGTCATTATTTACATGCTGCTTTCCAACTTTCCCTATAAGACAGAGCAACAGGTCCACACTTCATAGACCACACATCTCGCAAAGTGTGTATTTAATTTCTCTCCTGAACACTCTACAAAATATGTTGATTCTCCTCCTAGTTTCTACTCATACTGAGAATATTGCCTGACATCAACAGCAAGTGCTTGTGTGCTTTCTCTGTGAAAGCAGCATATTAAGTCAGGCAACCATTTTTTTTCTGCTTATGTAACTAAATGTTACATTCAGATTAATATTTTATGATACACTTACTACTACACTACTCACTACTTCTACTGAATGAAGAGGTAAGTAAAGGAAGATGCTGCACTTGTCTTTGCAGCCCAGTTCATGGAGAGACCACAGTCACAAGAAGGTGTTTATAACAACTCATAAACCTGCTCCTCCATGCCTCAAAAACCTCCAAACCTGGATACAAGTACTCATGCTCATCATGAGTAATGATATTCAYTGTACTTTAATATATGAGGAAAGTAGAATACACAACACAAAATTAATTTTGATTCATGCTGAGCTAGCTGGGAAAGACCTATGCAGTTCCTGCAGACTGAACCCCATCACAGTCMCACYAATGGAAAGTTCAATYTTTAAAAGCCCSCAYTTTAATTTTTTCATACTCACTTGGGTGTGTAAAAACTACCCAAGATGTATCACCCACATTTTGTGCTGTTGATCAGCCAAACACTACAGCCCATGGATGACATGTCTGCAGTGAATTGCTGGAATTAAATGTCCCAGAAGAACACTAGAAAGCTTTCTTCCCTCATCAGGAGCATTCACCAGGACATTTTTGGATGCTGTTTGGGAAAAATGGGTGAAACAGTTTCACCTTTATGAGGAACTGCCTGTGCTGTTACTTGCAAAACTTGAAAAAATACATTGCTCTTGCAATCTTCTCACACCACACGTGACAAACAGCACACACTGTAAGAACCCATGCACAGATGAAGTGCATTAATTCCCAACTCCCAAGGAAGAAAATCATGTTTCAGCACATTGAAAATCATGTTTTAGCACATGCATTGAGCACATTGAAAACCCATCCAAACATAACCTATCTGCGAAGCATTGTTCATTCCAACCCTTCTGCTGCCATCAGGGTTAGAGCAGAAAGATCTGATATGTGATGTATGGCCAGCTAGCTACTCTCACTGAGCAATCAGGCAACCCAAAATTTCCCCGAGAGAGGAAACACATAGCTACAACAAACTGAGTTCTCATTTCCTGCCTTTTCTAGGTCTGGTTAGACTGACAATCCAAAGAAATGTGTTTGTGTGATTTGCATGCACCCGTCCACAGCCTGATCTGCTTTGAAATTGGATGGTGCTTTAAGTAAGAAGCTGGATCAGGTCATCTCTAGAAATACCTTCCAGCCTGAATTATTCTAGCACTCAAGCCTGGAAATTAGAACTCTGAAATAACTTTAAACAAAAAATACAGACTCCATTTGAAGAAGCAGTTTAAAAATTCACAAAACCAATTCCGCAGCAAAGCTGCTTGCAAGGGGTCAGACGTTTGTACCATAAGGTTCCTTTCAGTCCCACATTCTTAAATCCCCACAAGCTTTACTTTCACAGTTCTCCAGTTTAGAAAAACATTGCCTTTGAAATCTGCAAGCACATCCAGGAGTTTGCCATGAATTATGCTTGCTTCTTGAGAGATGACTGCTTTATGCTTTGTTCTGACATATTTTGATCGTGTTTTCTGTCACTACAACAGTTGRRAAACATTTTTTTTAGTTTCTTTTGTTTAGATACTTCCTACTACACAGTTTCTAATACCCAAATAAACTTCCTGACTCTTAGAAACATGCTTCTAATGTAAATAGCACTTACAATTCATTTAAATTAATTTATCCTTTTTTTGCTATTATTCCATAATTTTTGCTTAACAAGAATTTTTGGCTTGTACTCCAGGATGTGAACCCACATTTCAAATACGTACTACAGCAAGTTTCTGAATCACAAACACTGTCAGTTTGAAGGCTTTATACGTTGCTAAAAGGTAGTTACTTTGTTTATTAATTCTGCTTAGTTACAGTTTTATAACAGTATCACCAAATCTAAATATATTTTCTAAGCTTGCAACAAATGCAGCCAGCTCTGGGAAACTCAGAAGCAGGTAATGCCCAAAACACCCTGATATATGCTTTGCTGGATATTCCTTGGAGCTTCAAARTAAGCTGAATAACCAGTTAATAGCAGTGAGGGGCTGCACCTTACCTGATAAAATGAGAAGCTCAATGATGTCTGCATCCCCCAGGAATGATGCAACGTGAAGAGGGGTTCTTTTCTCGGCATCCTACAAAACCAAGATTGTCCAGTTAAAAAACATGGTCAATAAGAGCAGGCATTGGTGTTAAAGAGCAAAGGATTTGCATATATTTGTTTTTATGCGTGCATTTCTGTTTCTAATTAGAAATGCAGTCTCAGCCAGTGAAAGAACAAAAYTCAAGATCTCTACAACACAATAGTCCTCAATTTTTTATCCCTTGTTTCCACCAGTCCTTGAAGAGACACTGTGTTCACTTTGATATCCTGTTCACAGGCAGATGAAATCAAATCTAAAATGTGCAAAGACAGCACCTTTGTGTCTCTTTCAGAAACATTTTCCAATCTTAACTATCACAGCAACATAATTCAGATGCTTCYGGATATCAGACTTTGCAATGCAGCTTTCATCAACAGCACAACAGCAGAGTCTTCAGAAAGACATCTCCAGAGGATGGTTTGGAACCACACACAAGGTCAAMATGCAAAGTCCTCTTAGTCTACAAAGATTCTTGTACACCATTTAGCCTGGTTATCTAMAGCAGCCCAAAATGGGCATGTACACCTTGACGGACCTCTAAACAGAAATAAAGTATTACCAATCAAACCTGTGCCTTTAAACTTAGAAGAATTGCTAGTAATCATATACATAACTTCCAAAATATACCTACTTTTATTTGATTTCTGTAATTTTCCAAATTAAGTAGTTCATTGTAAAGATTTTCTTTTTTAATTTCAAGGGGTATAAATACAGTGTTCACAAAAAAAAAAAAAAAACAACCACAAAAAAAAAAAAAAAAACTGTAATTTTCCAAATTAAGTAGTTCATTGTAAAGATTTTCTTTTTTAATTTCAAGGGGTATAAATACAGTGTTAAAAAAAAAAAAAAAAAAAAAAAAAAAAAAAAAAAAAAAAAAAAAAAAACCACCCAAACATTTATTTTATTGCTTTATTCAGCTGATTCCAGAACACAGGCCTTTAAAACAATTTGCTAAATATTACAAAATGGGCAACAACAATCACAAGAACTGCTAATACTGCTCACTGTGCTATTTGATTCCTGTTTCCAGCCTTAAATGCATTTCATTTTGGTTTCTTAACCACAAAAATAAGTTCTAGACCTTATCAATCAAACTCATTGCAACCTRCTAGCATTAAATATCTTAAGCTAGMAAGAAATTCAACACTTCCTGCAAACAATACCAAAAGAGAAACCCCACCAATATTTACACTCTGTCCCTGAAAAAGATCTCTGAGCCTGTCATGAAAAATACCACTTTTARCATGCCCAAGCAGTCATCAACCATAAGCTATTTTGGAATATCTTCAAAGTATGCTACAAATGTGGAAAAATCTGTGTAGCAGAACCATTTGTCATGGGAATGTCGAAAATTGTTTTCCAGCACTGAGAAGCACAGAGCCACCGATCACCAAAATATTTTATGCTTAATTTTTATATTTGTATGGGTTTTTAGAACATAATGTACGTGGTCTTTAAATTCTGCTGCATTGGGTTTTGATCTCAGGTATTGGATGTGCACACAAAACACTCAGAAGATTGATTACATAAAACCCTSATTGGCACAGGTTAGGGGGGAAGATCTCTTATATTCCCTGTCCTAAATCTTTTTGCCATTCCATAGCAAAAAAATGAACTGACTGATCAAACATATATACAGCAATAGAACCAATTTGATTTGTTTGGGGTTTTTTTTCAGTTTGTTCATATTAATGCACAAAGCTGTTTTTAGTTTAACACAGTATTTGTAATGTACCTGTCAGTGCAGCACAACCAAGCTGGGCAAGAGCACAGCAGTTTGAAGGTGAATGTTAATGATACAAAACCAAGCAATTTTCTACATCAAGGAACCAAGGCTACTCAGTGTTTTGGTGATTATGGGCAATTTTCTATAGTAAACTGTAAATCTGATGCAAATTTGATAACTGAGGGAGGAAAGGGACATGAAACAGAAAATTTTATTATTCTGTAACAGGAATAACTCTCTGTAAGCTTTTTAACCTTTCCATTTTTAAAATCAATACAAAATCCTATCATATTGAGTGCAAATCAAGTTTTCAGAGGAAGAYGGGTTCAGTCACAAAACTGAATTTAAGCTTTATTTGTCCAAGAGGAAAAACCCCTAAAAATTTCTCCATTTATCACAACCAGGCCAAAATCASAGCTCACTTGCACATAGAGCAGCATTTTCAGGAGTCAGGCAGGGAGAAGTTCACACGCTGCACCCACAGCCAAGTGTGCAGATGAGCAACTCAATGCAGGAACATGCTCAAGTTCCTGTTTAGACTGTGCACAGCACTGATACCAAAACAGAGGAACTGAGTTTTCTGCCCATGTGCCCCACCACAGTCACAGAGCCACATCTTCATCGCTCCCTGGCTCGGTGCCCAGCCCACGCCCCCATTCAGCCCCAGACACCCTCAGCCCATGGTGCTGGTAACAGGAACACAGAAGAAAAACAATCATGGTCTAGGGACTGGAAGCTACCCAGAGAGAGAGAGAGAGGGAGAAAAAATCTGTCACAAGGAGAGGCTTGGCAGAACCCCGAACCTCAGCGTACGTTATCAAGGTAAGGAAAGAAAGTGGGGGGAAGAGATGATAACAGGATTACAAAAAGCATGATGACAAATAATCTGACCTGCTTCAAGTGCAGTTCTCAGAGGAACAAAAGGATAGCAAGAGACAGTAGATAAGCTATAAAAAATTGCTAGAAAATCATGCTGAGATAAATTCTCTTTCCAGTACCTCGAGGGGGTCTACAAGGGAGCTGGAGGGGGACCTTGCAAAAGGGAGTGTGGTGATAGAACAAGGGGGAATGGCTTCAAGCTAAAAGAGGACAGGTTTAGATTAGACACTGAGAATAAATTCTTCACTGTGAGAGTGATTATGTACTGGCACAGGCTGCCCAGAGAAGCTGGGGATGCCCCATTCCTGGAAGTGTTCAAGCCCAAGGTGGATGGAGCTTTGAGCTCCTGGTCTAGTGAAAGGTGTCCCTCCCCAAATGCAGGGGGTTGGAAGGAGATGATCTTTAAGATCACTTCCAACCCAGAGGATTCGGTGATTTATAAAAATTGCATTAATAGCCTGCACAGAACAGATACAGGTTAACATTATCTACACCATTATCTACACCCCTTTTTGTTTTTTTAATACAGATAAAAGAAAGTAAGAATTGAACAGACAGGCAATCAGGAACAACAGGCCTCAGTAAGAAAAGCACTCAACACATGCTTAAACTGTTCAAGTGCCCACAGTGGCACTGATAAGGCCCTCACAGGCTTAAAGTTAGACTAGTCCTTAAGTGTTTTRTTGGATCAGAGCCTTGGGGTACATGAAGATTAGCAGAACAGTGAGCTGAAAGAATCATATCAGCACATGTAAACTATTCAGGCACATCAAGAAAAGGGCCTATGTTTTCTCCACAACGAACAGCCTGCATAGATAATGGAAGTGAATTTTGATATCAACTGTAACTGCTCAGATCAGGTGATGCCTAGGACAGGGTTATTTACTATTAAAATGTAAGTGCAACAGCTGCAGAAAATAAATGTATGTCTCCTTTCTTTGTCACCAAAYTGACTGAGCAGCTAAATAAGAACAGTAGGAGTGTACAGGAGTTCAGTGCACTACAAAAATTGAGTTACTGAAGCCTTTGGATTTCCAGCACCATCAAAATGTGCCTGGGTGGCAGAATAAGGCACAGGAATGGCTATAATTACCACGGATCAAGTCTAACCAAAATAATGACAGAAACAAATTTCTTGTTATTCACTCTATTTACAACTGTTCCACCTGAGTACACCTCATTTATACAGCACCACCATTAAAAAACTAATTCTCATATAGAACCTGACTTCAGAAAAATTAATTATTGGGAACTGTTAGGAACTACTGAAGAGGCTAAAAGCATATGAGCAYCTACTTCTYGGGCTATTTACAACCATTCAGAGCYGAAAGCTGAGGSTGTACCAARAAAATCTCTGTTGTTTCAAGGATTTCCTCCCCCTCATACATTCTTTGATTAATGCCTGTAATTCACAGAGCAAATCGAAATGTTTGATTGTAAGCACCACTGCTGAAGGTGAAAGTCAAGCTGTGTAACTTATGCCTGGTGCTCTTCCTTCTGCATGGTAATAACCAAACACAGAAATTCCCATCTGAAAATGCAGTCCTGGTTCCAGCAGTTCTMATCCCCACAATCTTCAGTTTAGCCCTGAAACGAAGATTTTTCTGGACTAACTCTTAAATTGCCAAGTGGTCATGAAGTAGAAGAGGCAAATACTTTGATCTTCTAGAACAAGACAAATTATTTTGCCTCTCCCCCTTCATCTAACAATTGCCTTGCATGAGTCTGACAGTGACTTTTATGCTGGAAAAGCATAACTTTAAAAATTCATTACTAATTCTAGATGAGACCATAGAAACTGTTAYGCTAAAGAATGGAAATATTTTAATGCTTATGGGTATTCAGTGTAAGATTCAAAAGATAGACTTAACTCCTCCATTTTCATAAATACAATATTGGACAAATTTGGACAGGAGTGTTAAGGCATAGGAGTATACATCACTCAAGATAGGAAATCATTTAGAAAATTCAAGTATTTCAGGCTGATATTGCTGCCTTTCAAGAAAATAATGCAGTTACAGCCAAACTCTGCCATGAGACTTTARTGGTCTGTACATCCTTAACTGTCTCAAACTGGTTACATGAGTCACCAATACAGCTATATATATATAAAACATAGTAACCATTACTACCCTAGCTGTTGCAAAGCAACCCAGAATATTTCAGACGCTCAGTCTCTCCAGCAGAATCCTCTTCACAGCTCAAAAATTTTCTTTATAATATATTTTAAAAAACTTTTGAGCCAAAAAAGTATTTCATTTAAATATCATGCTAGTTACCTTGMATTGCAAACATCAGTCTAATTTTATATTCAATTTTCCTACATAATTGAGAATTGTTCATAATTTCTACAGAAAAAAAAGCACTCAAACAAACCACTTAAACAAACAGCATATTAAACAGCATTACTAGAGGCTAAATACCCAGTGGAAGCTGGAACACAGACCCTCACCTCTGCTTGTCCACCCTCAAGGAACAATGATTGCCTTTTTGGAATGTGGAGCCTTGCAGGAGAATAAAGCTATCCTGGAAGCAAATGCTCCCCTTCTAGACATAGTTTTGCTGTGGAGGATTTYGTTAAGAACTTTGGAAGGCTTCTGCTTTGACAGAATTACAGTTTGGTGCCTGCAAATCCATGCTTTACCAAGCACGATAATGAGGAAAAAAATTAAGAAACAGCACACATCCATGTGTCATATGTCTCCATAATGACTTCCTTCCTGCCCTCCATATCTCATAATAAACCACCCTCTAAATACACTGTCCTGCATGTATGGCCCTATAATCTCTTTGGTGTTTGTTCCTCTGCAGACTCACTCTGCAGCTAGAATCAGGGTTCTATCCAAGGGAAAACACAGGGAATAAAAAATAAAAACAGAGAAAACGAACTTACTTTCAAACAACACATCAGTTATAGGGAACAATATTGGAAGGGGTTTTTTTTCTGTTTGACTTTAGGTATTTTGAAGAGAAACTAGACTTGAAGACTGAGAGGAAAATGGAAATCTCACAGGCAGGATTTTGGTTTGCAACACCACACATAAGAGCTGGACTTTGCAGATGTAAGGTGCTGCACAGCTGCATGTATTGTGAACCCCAAATAAGAAGGGGTTACAACTGGATCCAGATTAGTCCCTGGATTCTGGGAGTCATTCTCTCCCACTCTTCCCTAAGTAAAAACCGCCCCCCAAAAAATCCCCATCTACACAGATGCAGCATGAGCACGCTGCTACTTCTGAATGCACCAAACAAGAAGCACAGAAGATGTCTACCTGAAACTTATCTGGCAGCCTGGATTGTCCAAGGGATATCACAAATGTCCTGGGAAAAAAGGCTGCTGAGCACTGCCCACAGGCAGAGCACATTTCCCATGGAAACAGAGCATATTCAGTAAGCAGAGGTAGGGAATTCCTCATTGCTACGTAAGTATAACAGGAGCCAATGCCCCCAAAGCACAGGTAAGGACTGGAGAGGTCAGAGGGACAATTAGAGTGGCAGAATGAACTAAAACCACATTTGTAATCCAGTTACAGATTTCATATTGTTGCAAAATAGAAGTCACAATTACAGCAGTATCAAGAATGTAGCCATTTCCAATAACAAACACATCCTTATCTTGGGTGGTTATTAATTATTTCACCAGACCAAAAAAAGGAAMCCTCTAAACTTCTGATTTCCTCCAAACTGCTGACAATAATTTTCTCTTGGGAAGTATGCACATGCATTCCTAATTTTGTGTAGTTTCTCCATGCAGTTCTGCTTCYATCTTCTAAATACTTCTCTTACTGGAGATTAAAAAACATGAAATTCTCAGAGCTGGCAGACAAACTGCACCTATATTTTGTACCCCTGTTCTACCTATATTTGAACTATTCCAGCATTAAAACAGCCAGCCAAAATGATCAACAAAGGACAATTCTCTGCCAAGCAGTGTCAGAGTTTCCTCTCACGTGAGCAACCAAACACTAACATGGAAGTAATTAAAAACACCCTTAAAATAGAAACATAAGCATGCAATACAAATTGCCAGCTAACAGCACAAGGAGGGGGAAATCTTTTCATTTTTCTTTAGKGATATTTTAAGCAATTGACACTTGTCTGCAGCCACTATTCAGTACACAATCTTCAGTGTTTGTGTTGATCAGTATTTTTCTAATTGCTTCAAAGAACATCTTTGCATTTTGCTCATGACAAAAAAAGCTGTTCTTGGGTGAATTTTGAGCATTGTAAATAGTATTCTGGGCAAAACCATTCAATGACTTTTTCTGTTAAGCACAATGGTACTCATCTGCAAAACACGTATTTTTCATCTAATCTTGCACCTGACAGCTGAGAGCATCTCCCTGGCAACCATCACTAACACACTTGCAGCCAAATAGGACAGAAAAATACTGGAGAAGCCCACAATAACCTCACACAGGAAATGCTATTTTGAAAATCCAGCCTGAAACACTGAGGAAATTTTAGGACTATGGTGTTGATCTAGCTTGCTGGGGGGTTGGGTTTGGTTTTTTTGCTTTGTTTTCTTGATGATCTTAATAAAGCAAAGAAGGAAGAAACTCAAAGGAGATGACTGTTTAAGGAAGCACTTTTAGGAACTTTCAAGAAAACAATCAGGTACTGATAATCACAGGGAAAGCCTAATGTCAAGGTTTTAGATCAGATTTCCCATTTAAAACAGCAGCAAGTCTTTCCTTCTACTGGACAGCAAATGGAATGGAGCCCAAGTCACCCAAATCTGTAGGATCATCTCTCCTGTTCCTTCTGGCAGCTCTGAACCAGACAGTTGGACCCCACTACCTGCAAAAGCTGCAGTGCCAAGACCAGGCCAGCTGCTGGAGTGAGTGAGGAATAAACTGATGGCTTTATGTCAGAGAAAGACATGGAGAAAAGGAAGGTTGRTTCAAAAATCCAGGAAACACCTGCAAATCATCATTCTGCTTCTGCTTTATATTCTCACCACTTTGAGAGGCYACAGATCGTAGTCAGGACTGGCAGGACTCGTTTCTAACAGTATGGATTTAAATTAAAATCAAAGAGGGAGGAAAAAAAACACCCCAAGTTCTGCAAAAAAAGACCAAGTTAAAATGGAGACTTATTTTTTTTCTCTGCCGAAGTACTCAACTACTACTTGTTTTACAGCTGCTTACCATTCTGGCTAGAATAAGCCAATCTGCAAAGCAGTAATTCCTTTGTGGGCAAATTGTGGCCAAGATTCTGCTTCCTTATTCTCACTGCTGAGAATTACAGTGAAGCTTTAGTTCAAGTAGAGTCAAATGCATAACAGCTCCTGATCTGCAAAGACTCTTCATAAAAGGAAACCCTACAGAGAGTAAAAATATGCAATTTTCAGCTGTTTTCATTCATTTTCTCAGTAAGAGAAAGAACAATGTCCCTGACTGCCCTGAACATTTGCAATAATTACCATACACTTTAAAAATTAAGTCACCTGCTAGAGACAATTATGTATCAGACTCCTAACTAGGATACCMCTGAAGCCCCAAATCTCTTACTTCCCAATCATTTCCCTTCTGTTATGTGTTAATTACTGAGAATATTTTTAATTGTGTCACTGCCACAGCCCATAAGCACAGGGCATAACATGTTAAATCACATACCAAGGCGTTAACATCCTCAGTTTTGTAGATCAACATCCGTATCTCTTCTGGATCACCACTGAAAATCGCCTGGACCAGTGGCGGCTGCRAAAAGAAAACAGAAGAAGCAGCATTACTTATTTTCTGTTTAAACTGAGAGCATTTTACTCCTGTTAACRTCTGCTCAAGCTGCCCACAGACACATGGTGTGACCTCATCAGTAAGAGCTATCAGTTTGCTTGAGGATAAACTGAAATCATGAGCATGTTTGTACCTATAATGAGCGTGTGTGTGCACAAACAGGGACCCCCATTAGAATGGTAACTTTTGTCAACAAMACACAATTAGCCCAGATGTTCTCCCTGGCATGGAGGGGGAAAACTAATTACATTAGATAGTACTGCATGCTTGCTCTTGGCACAGATTAATGGTCATGCAATACACATTTAGAAACAGAACATTRTGCAGATAATGAATTTCTGGACAATTACTAAACAACTTGTATTTTTTTACTGAATAAATACGCAATGAGCGCAGTTAATTTTAACCACCCAAGAAGCAAAATAATTATCTCATTGTTTCAAGTCTGTTATTATTCTATTACGAATGGGAATGCAGAAATAAATAATCAGGCACACAGGAGAAACAACGTGCCATGCTGGCTCCACACTGGCATCACCAGCCAGCAGTGGGAGGGAGCTCTGTGTGCGACRACCTTTGCAGCAAATATCTCAGTTATTAACCAAGCAGCACACTGAACTCAAAGAAGAAAAACCTTGCTCCTGGACACTCAGAAAGAGAAGGGGATAATTCATGAAGACCCCTATGCCCTGAAGCATGGTTGAAATAGGCCATGTTTTTCCAGCACCCTCCTGAAGGCATTTGTGTGCCCCCTCAGTCTCACTCCTGGCTGCCTCATGGCTCTACTGGCAAAAAAGTTTGTGGTGCCATGCAATCACCAGAATCTAAAACAATCATGCAAATAGAAGCACACATGACTACTTAAGCACATAAAACCACAGCAGTTCTTGAGATYCTGCAGAATTTAACTCTCTTGTAAACAGGCTGAAAGAACAAAGAAAATACCATTTCCTTCCTATCTTTTCACTGCAAAATTCATCATATTCAAATGTGGAAAATACATTTCTATGTTAATGGTGTCTATTTTAAGACATATTAATCCCTTATGTCCTTGAGAAACATTCATGCTGGAATTTCATTCTTGCCACTCCTACAAAAGTGAAAAGAACTMAAACAGCATCTTTGATCACAATTGCCTATGTCTTACATTTTGTAGTGGATGTTTTAAAAAAGAAAGGAAAAAATCACATTTTAATTGAACCATTTAGCATGCTTCCTTCCCAGCCCATATAGAATGGCCAGAGAATATTCCCCACCAGAGGATGCAAACACAGATCTCAATTTTTAGAAGAGAAGGGAACAGACTAATAGCTATGAAGAATCAGTGAATGTTTATTAAGTTACGATGCTCACACCAAAACATTTGCATTTCATGCGCATTTATCATAATATTTAAATGAAAAAAATTATCAGGAAAGCAGAGAACGCCCCAATTTCAAGCTAAATGGCAACAGAACCCAGTAGACAAGAAGCAAACACCCCCAGCAGCTTAGATTATTCCCTGAACCCATTTGTAGGTATGCCCAGCACCCAACAAAAAGTACCAGCCAGGCTYTGGTGACATTTAAGCTGAGACCTCAGACAGATGTAAGGGAAAAAGAGAAAGAAACCCTCAAAACTCAAAGCTAATAGATTAAAATAAATTTTTAAAAAATTCAAATGCTGTTATCAGACAATGTTTTTCTTTTTAAAAAGGAGGCAGTACTGTTTATCATTACATTAAAGAAAAAAAAAGGTCTACAATAAGACACTTTGCCCCTTCTCTCTGCCAGAAGTCTGAATCAGACACTTAGTTTTACAGGAAATGTTTGACCTTTCTAATTAGCATCAGCCACTTAACACAGAAAGCAGATTGAGAATAACATTGTGTTCTTTAGACCTGTAACATACAGAAGATCTTCATCTCAATTTTTGTTCAACATACCATGGTCACATCTACCTGCAGTTCCYTAAATCAAACCCCAGTGTTTTTCATGCCTTTGAAGCAGTTTATAACTTCCACCACTGATACACCTAACCTTTGCTGACAGGAGAACGTTGCCATACACTCATTTCAAAGGCCTTATCCTTCAGACCATTTAATTAAATTAAYTAAATCTAAAAAAGATCTGATTTTTATAAATTAATTATAATATTTCTCTGCCAATTGTAGCAGCAGAAGACAGAGATAATGGAGAATGATCAGAGCTTGCAAATTGGAAAGAAAAGACAAAACTGATACAGGTTAATAACCATCTTGAGTCACTGCTGTGCAGCCTGCTCCAGCTGGCCATTTTTCACTGTGTCATTATTTTACTTTATTWTCACAGGTATCAGTTTTGAAACGAGAAACGTATTATTGAGGCAATTTTATCACCTATTAACACCTGTTTCTGTGCAAGATGTGCAGTCATGCATGATGACCTRTTCAGGAAATACATGTCAGAACTATGTTGCAGCGTTGTCGCTGCAGTTTGAGATCAGAATGTGCATCTGAAAATGTGCAGTTTGAGATCTGAGAATGTGCATCTGCATCTATCAGCACAATGGAAAAAGTGTTGCTGCATTCAGCAGCAGCTGACAGTGATGGAACGGGCCTGGTGCAGTTACRCACACATTGGTGATGGATGCCCAGTGACCTGAACTGATTACTGTTTTGATCTTCAGTGATAATCATATTCATGCATCAATGACTTCAAAGAACTTCTTTTTTATTTTAGTTCTTGAAGGGTAGAGAATGATCCTTCCTAATTATCAAAGGATAATATATTTTTGGAAATAATTTCTAAAACTTGTGACATCATTAGTGGGTTATTTCATTAACAGAAATACTTTGCTTTAAAATTCTTCAAATTCAGAAGTTGCTAAACTCTCATAATGAAGARAAAGAGAAAAAGCACAAGCACAGAACAGAGCAGACTAGGTATAATTACATTTAGAATAAAGTAATGGTGCAAGGCTTTGGAATTATGAACAACTGTTTCATCAGCTCAGCTCTCTAYAGCTTCCAAATTCCTAAAGAGAATTTCATTTGGGAGTGTTCACATTTTTTTCTGAAAATAAACTGCAGCAGCTAACAAAAACCTTTCCATTTACTTTTTCTGCAGAGTTACCATGATAAGCATGGAATTTATCAACAAGTTTTATAAGAGGGTTTTTTACTTTGTGCTGTAACAAGCATTTTAGTAAAATTGTGTCTGCAGACTCCTTCCAGTGTTGCAACATTTGGACGTCTTTACCGAATGCTGGACTGCAATCCACCAGATAAAATTAACTTGTTGAACTGAAGACACAATAATTATTTCAGCAACAGAGCTTAAACCCACACGGAAGAATGTCCAGTGGCTCAGCTCAATCCCACAGAGCCCACAAGCCATTCCAAAAGAAAAAGCCTGACATTGGGAAATTCACCTCCATAGATTTTACTGTTACCAAGGCGCATTGACAAGTCTCTGACTCCAGATGTGATGAAGTATTTAAATGGACTGTCTAAAGTATCATTTTTACTACTGTGTCTAAAGCAGGTGCTGAACCCCCTAGCAAACCATTTCGTATTTTTGTTGAGTAATGAGTAACTGTGACATACATTAAATATTTTGCTTTGATTTCAGCTATCCTCACTCACTAATGAGGACTTACTTAAGCCAGATTTTTATTTAACAGGAGGTGAAGGCAGATAGGGAAAGGATCATCAAATCCCATGCCTATTTAACATAATATACTACCATTTGTTCCCRTGAGTAAAAAGAAGTTATATATTGATCCTTTATTAGTTCTAATTGCATTACATTAAGTTCCTGGACTAAACACTTGGATATGTCCATGTATTCAAGTAACTAACAAGGCAATGTAGCAAGACACACAATCATTTCAAAGTGGTATTGATTCTGACAGTGTTTTGCCAAACACCTCTTTTTTTTTTTTCTGAAGGTACTCCCACTAATCAAGATTACAAGGTTGTCAGCAATGTCACATCACATACATCTATTTCCTTCCTTTGGTCAAAGCAAAAACACTACTCCTCTGCCTAGTTTTAGTCTGGGACTTTCTSTGAGCATACAGCACATGACTATCTGAAATGATGTTTGAACTTATAAGTCGGTATTAGTGAACAGCCATTAACTGGATTTCTCTTAATTCTTAGAGTGCATTTCCCTGATGCTTAGTATTTATCCAGTCCCATGYACAGAAATTACTCAATACTAAAAATTTTTAACAGGCCTTGTAGTCTATTTCCCTCGCATCAGGATTTAGCCTTTTACTGTGTTTTAGGAATGCATTGTTGGGTAAATACAAAAAGAAGTTTGCTCTTACTTTGTTAATTCAAAGGGTGCATTCCTGTTGTAAGAATTTCTATATACTGACTTCTGACAGCAATGTACTTTCACAGAGCTGGTCTTTGGGGATGAATGCCCTTGGATGACTGCTAAGAGGTATTCCACAACAATTACAGATTTTTGCTGAGCATCTCTTAAGGAATGCTTGTCCAAGCTACTAAAAGGCCAGTGGAGAGAATCAAATCTGTAAATAGGGTGTGCTGGTTCCCTGGAAGCACTATGACAAACTAACAGCATTGTTAAGTGAGCAAATTTATACCGAGCAGATCAACATTTATACCAAGCAGATCAATAAATACTCTGTTGGCTGCAATATTTCAAACATGGCAGAGAAAAAGAATTTTCAATTCATTTAATTCTATCTTATTATGTCCTTCCATTTATTGCAGACTGGCCCAGTGATTTAAGGATTGCACATCAATCCTCTGCAKCAAGGACAGCATGCATGCCTACACATTGCTATTTATTTCAATTTGTTCCACTGTGTTTCAGCGCTCAAGGACCAACAAACATATGACACACAGTGGTATTAAAAAAAAGCCAAGTCAACACTCCCAAAACTAAAAAAAAAACTCTCTGCATGACAATGGCACTTCCAAGCTGAGAAATCTTCATGCTGTTTTTAGGCYAGAATTTAAAGGATACGAC